GCACCATGTGCTATCTTTATAAACATCTTATGTTTAAAACATATAATGAATGTTATACAATGAAAACTGCGTGCTCGTTATGTGAAACACGATAATGTGCGGACATCAAAATATTATACATTGTTCTAATTTCTTAAACTCTCCAGATATAATGTCGGCATTTTCTTCTATTTCTAAATTCGAATTAGCGAAAATTTCAATTCTAATAATTCAAATACTATAACCATTCCATCTTTATCTTTAGCGCAAACATTAATACTTTACTCTTTCGTATATTTTACTAATTAGTCGATTAAATTAGAAATTATTATTATTATTATTATTATAAAAGCGATGATAATTGACAAGATGTAACTTTTGGGTCTTTCTATATCTTGCTATATATTACTATTTTTCTTTGAAGGAGTTTTCGCATTTGTGGAATAAAATTTATATTTAATTTCAGCATTCAAATTGACAAATTATTACATTTTTTTATTTTTGAGGTTTCTTTCTAGCACAATATTACAAATCAAATCGATCCATCATCAATCGATTCTTTTTAATCTCGCTGAAAATAATTGCAACTGCTGCAATGATAACATCATTGCAACAAATTGATTTTGTTTAAGAAAGTACCTACATTATTATAGCATTATACTTTATGTCGCGGAATGGATTACAAACTTGAACAGTAAAAATATCTTAAAAATCTATCTATGAATCTATGAATTCACTTTTTAAAGCGGAGCTGAAACAATGTCGCAATATAGCAACAAAATTTTTCATTTCACTGGAATTATTCACAAAACATTAAGAACAGATATAATTTTATTTCATCAAAATCACGATAAACATTTAATCACGATAAACATTTTATAATTGACTTATATAAGTTCTTTGCGCTCTAAATAAAAATATGCAAAAATGGAAAAGAAAGAGCTTAAATGTTGCACATAAATAATATACATACTTTCTATGTGTATATACATATGTATATTAATTTATTTAATTTTCAAAAATCAATTTTCACCAACCACTCCTTGGTCGTTTCTAGTTAAATGTCTGTTATTATAAATATATTAATAACAATTTGAATAATGATTACAAAGTCAATATCAGATCAATATCAGAAACTTTTGAAGTGCAAAATTTTTGTGATTATTTAGACTTTTAATATTTTTAGTATTGTAATCTTACTTATTTTCAAAAAATTTTCATTTTTTTCTCTTTTTATTTTTATATATATGGAATAATTATCACAACTGTTTATTTATTTTTCCTCTAATTTTATGAATAAATGCATAATCTTTTGGAGTTTTTAGTCTAAGAGTTGCCTATATTATGACAGGTGAATTTCGTTATAATTCATGATATTAAACATTTATATCTAGTCAGAAATCAGTATCATTTTATAATGTTATTTGATTATTCAAGAAATGTCAAATATTAGATCTGTTATTTTATGGCAGAGTAGTAGAAAGTCAGAAAGTAACGATAAATAATTTAATTTAATTTATAATGTTTTCGTGACACAATCACAAAAAATTAAAAAAAGTACCTGCAAAATGTAATAATTTTAAAAGAAAACTATTAGAGTTCATTTCAATTGAAATCCTAGTCTTTAAACAAAATTATAACACAAAATTTACAGAAGATTTGAGTTTCCAATCTTAAAAACTGCTTCTTAAGAAAATAGAAATTTAATAAATTTCGTAATCACTTTTTCTTCGCAGGATTATTGATTTTTGTAAAAACAATAAATTATTAATTTCGCCAATCATAAATTCACTTTTTCTTTCTTGGAGAAATGTTACTATTTTGTTTTATATAATTAAGCTTAATATACAAAATATTGTTATAGACACATTGTTAGAAAAACATTAATCATATCGTCGAAATCGTGATGATTTCACTGAGCAAATATAATAAAAATATAAAAATATAAATTTTTACATGTTTTGATAATGTTTCAGATGTGTTGTATAAAAAATATAAGAATAAAAAGTCGTAAGTAGAGGATAAGGAGATGAAATTTCCTGATGGCTAGCCATTTTAACATCATTATAACATCATTTGATTAGTTTTTACGACCAAAGAGAGGTAATGCAAAAAATTAGCTTTTTCATTGTTCTACCATGACATTTCAGAATGGCAAGTGTATATTAATAGTGCATTGTGCGTACATGCGCCCTCGATTGTATATGTTAAGTATGCGAGTATTTGAGAAATGAGAGAAAATGAATCGATTATCGTACGAATTGTTTATGTCGAATTAAAAAAAAAAACAGAGATATGTTGTGTT